GTGTGCGCAGGGCGCGGACCCACGCGCACTCGGGCTTCTGGGGCCAACCCGTGCGCCATCCCCGCGCGTCCTGGTCTGCGCGCTCGCGCACGGAGGTGTGTCCCGGGACCCAGGTGTAGACCGTGTGCGTTTCCTCCAGGTGTCATGAGCTCAGGGGTGTGACTTCGTTTGGATGGCAGGGGTGGGCAGGTGGCCCGCGTGTCTGCATGTGCCACCTTGCAGACACAGGTGCTTCCGTGCGGTGGTGGACACCGGGCTCTGCTCTCAGTTGGCCAAGGGCCGCCGCCCCACCCGTGGCCTTTGGAGGTCAGCTTGCTGCTTAGCTCATCCGCTCTTTCAGCTCCACCCCAGAGAGAGCCCCCTTCCCACCCTGGGCACTGGGCGGGGGAGCACCTCACCTTGTCCTGCTGGAAGTGGGGCTGCACGGAGACCTGGACCTCGGCCCGGGTCTGCAGGCCCCCCAGGGCCCCCAGCAGGACCAGCGCCATCCACAGTGTGTGCAGAGCAGCCATTCTCCCCGAGCGGGCGTCTGGGGCCTGGTGCCAGCGGTGCAGGCAGAGTGAGGCAGGCCAGCGGGACGCGCAGAGGCCACTGGGGAGACCCCTATTTATGGGCCTGGCTTGGCTTCCACCCAGGGCCCAAGGACAGCCCACTGGAGGCTCGTGATGCGGGGGTGGGGGCGTGAGAAGGATGCGTTGGCAGAGCCCAGCTGCAGCCTCGCCCCCCACAGCCTGCTTATGTAAGAGGCTCTGACCAGAACAGGCTGGGCCCCGCCACTGGCCGCTGAGGGTGGGGGAGGGGGGCAGAGGCCTCTCCTGGCCCCAGCAGCCTGGATGGGGGCAGGGTCGTGTGCCTTGGTGCTGCTCTGCCCGGGGGGCCTCTGGTCGTTCCCATCTGGGGAGGGGACCTCCCTCTCACAAGCCCTGCCATCGTTCCCTCTCTAAGCCGGTGACTCTGGGAGGAGGCGACAAGCCCCGTCTGTACCGTGGGAGTTCGGTCCTGGGGGCTGCCAGCCAGTCTGCCCAGGGGGGGCTTCTTCCCTGCACCCTTGTTTCCCTACAGCCCCAGCCAGGTGGGTGTGGAGCCGAGGCCGTCTCGCAGGCCTGAGAGCCCTGTGTTCCCTTGGGGGTTCACAGCGTTCGCCCACGTTTGCTTTACCTTGCAAGGAGGGGCCGGTCCTTCGCCCTGGCTTACTTGGTCTTCACTTTGGTGACGGTGCGGCGTTTGCCTTGTGCCTGGTTTCGTATGGCTTTTTAAGCAGTTGGATCTGCCCGTCCTTCCTGTGCGGCTTCTTGATTTATGACATGCTTGGAAGGGCCTTCCCCATTCTCATAGGAAAGGACTTGGTGTTTCTCGGTTACTTCTACGATCGTGGTTTTACTTTTTTCATCGTTGGTCCAGCCGACGTGTGAGTGTGTGCGTGCACGTGTGTGTATGAGGTGTGAGATGGAGCTAATTTTTTTCGTAGATGATTACCGTCACGTGACCTCCCCATGACCTGCGTGTGACCCCCAGCTGATTCTGTGGCCTCCATCCCTAGAGTGGGGCCAGCACCTATGGGCCTGTTTCCCCCATCCCCAATGGCCCAGGGGTCGAGGGCACAGACTCGGCTTTATTTCACAAGCGAAGCGGGGCTGTCGGCAGGGCGGCCTGGGGGAACGGCCGGGTAGGCAGCCCCGAGCGGGGGTCCGTGCTTTCTCATTGGTGTGGGGGGAGAGTGGGGGGAGAGGCCGCACCCCGCCCCGGGCTGCCTGGGCCACGGCCTGGCGCAGGAGCAGATCTGGGGGTCCTTTCAGAACTGGGCAGGGGCAGGAAGGGGGACATGGGAGGAAGGCCTTGGGGAGCCAGCTGCAGGCCTGTTCACTGGCTGAGCCCTGGGAGCCGCTGGCCTTGCGGAGGCTGGTGGCTCTCTGGGGGGCCTGGCTGGAGGTCCCTGCCCAAACCAGGCTGCCCCAAGACAAAGGCACCTCTGTCGGGGTGAGCACGCCCCAAGGTATGGCAAGGGGTTGACCGGGATGGTGCGAAGGCCAGAGGCCCAAACGCCTCTCACTCGGGCGGGCTGGGCTAAGCTGGGGGGACCTGGGGCCAGATTCCCAGGGGTCCCATGGACCTGGGCGGGACAAGAGTGGCTCCCTGAGTGTCTGCCCCTCAGAGCCAGTGCCCAGAACCGATTCCCTCCTGCCGCATTTCTCTGGCAGGCAACAGAAAGCCAGGCAGTCCCCAGGTCCCTCCTCCTCCCCTGACTGGCCTCTGGGGTTGGGGTGGGCCTGGGAGGGGGCGGGCGGGGGAGGGTGAGGCCAGGGGCCTGGCCGCAGGGC